TATTTTATTTAGTGTTCTGTCTGAGGACAGGTCCATATGAACAGGATCATTCCATCCTTTTCTCGGACTGGGTCCTGTTCATATACGTTCTTGGCAGATGATCCAGGAGTGGTTTGCCATTGCCTTCTTCTGTGTGTGCATGGAGTAATTGTTGGGATGCCACGGAGAAACCGGGGAAGCCCCCGTAGGAAAACTCCGTGTTGCCTAGACCACGGCCTTGCCCAACACAAGTTATAAATTCGGGCACCGCCGGGAATCGAACCCGAGACCCCAGGATTACAAGGCCAGCGTTCTGACCGCTAGACCACCGTGGCGATCCTTTGTGATGTCAAGGCAAAATGTGGATCCGGAACAGATGTAGTTAATACCGAATGTAGAAATGCTTACAGAATTTCTCAAAATAAATTTCGGATTACATACGCAAAACGTGCATGGTGTATAGGAACCAGATTCGTACGGCGAAAGTACAAGGATATATTTATCAGGCGTTTCATTTATTCATTATATATTTGCGTATATACTATATATAAGACGACTTGATAACGTTGGTATGCGAACACCGGTAACTGCTGTTGCCAACGAGGTCAGGCTCCATTAAAGTTAAAAAAACAAACAATAAATTATATAGCAATGACAAGGTCACTGGTTAGTCCACGTGGCCGAAGACAACGAATGGTCTTCCGTGTCCAAATGCAGGCCTACAAACAAAAAAATTTTTCGCACATGTTGCAGATTTTTGACTTGTTAGACATGCTGGGATTGGTCGAGCATGCGCAGACTCGAACCCAATCGCTATCTGGCGGACAGAAGAAGAGATTGTCTATCGCCCTGGAACTGATCACCAACCCTCCCGTTCTCTTCCTGGACGAACCAACTACGTGAGTATCCCGGTCACTTCCCCATAAGAGTAGAAGGAACGTGTCATATATGGAGTACCGCTACACTAGTACAGTGGTATTCAACCTTTTTTGTTCGCGTACCCCCAGATATAATTTCTCTTCAACTTTGTACCCCCAAAGTTGTTGGTGTATAATTCAAGTTATACATACTATATAATCTACATCTAAAATAAATTAAATAAATTACATTACTGATTATTCAGTGTTTATCATAAAATAATATATATATTTTTTAAATGTCACGTACCCCCACAGATGTCTTCGCGTACCCCCGGGGGTACGCGTACCCCAGGTTGAATACCACTGTTCTACAGTATAGACCAGTGGTATTCAACCTTTTTTGTTCGCGTACCCTCAGATATAATTTCTCTTCAACTTTGTACCCCCAAAGTTGTTGGTGTATAATTCAAGTTATGCGTAGTATATAATCTACTTCTAAAATAAATTAAATAAATTACATTACTGATTATTCAGTGTTTGTCATAAAATAATATTATTTTTAAAATTTCACGTACCCCCGGAGGTACGCGTACCCCAGGTTGAATACCACTGTATAAATCGTTCAGATGCAGAAAATAACGTGATTATAAATATCTAATGCCGCGTGTTTCTCAGTTTAAAGTCGCGGTATTCCATATTAAGTACCACTATTTTTTCACTGGAGGAAAATTGTTTGTCTGCACTAATTGTTTTTAAAACATCGCATAAAAATTATTTTTAGACTACAAATATTGCAGCATATTATAACTTTTTTTTAAATTTTAAGGCTTTCACACAGAATCATTTACTTCCTACAGTATACAAATAGAAAATAAATGCATACAAAATTTTATTTAGAACACGTAAATGGAAAAACCACAGAGTTTAAAAAACGGGCCTTAGAAGATACTGGAATGGTGTGGGGAGTGAATTAATGTACCTTATTATAAAAAAAAACTGGCGGGCCGGATGTGTACGCGGCGATGAACATTCGAGTTCCATAAAATGAGGGAGAGTTATTGACCAGCTGAACAACAATCAGCTTCTCAAAAAGGTCTGTGCTGAATGTTATTATTGAAACATTAATATAAGTAAATGAGTAGAGCTTTGGGGTTATGAAACATTGAAAAATGTTGTATTATACTGAAGGAAGGACTTTAATTAGAATTGGCTAATGGGAGAAACAGTAACACACGCTCTGCACAGACAACCTTCATGTAGCCTCGGACTGATTACCTTTTCCGTCCTCAAGGCTGGGGGCCCTGATATTACACATGGAGTTAAGTCATTGCCAGAAGTTGTTAAAGACAAGTTCGAAACGGAAGCTTTTGAAATTATCGTCTACAAACGCAACCACGACCCTTTGAAGGCGAAGATCGTCTGAATATTATTTATGAATTCAGTCCGTACCGCGAAGAAAACACTACACCTCACCATTACGAAAATCAGCTGGTTAACCCTTTGAAGCCGAAGCTCGTCTTCATAATATTTACGAATCCAGACCGTACCGCGAAGAAAACACTTCACTTAACCATTAGAAGTCGAATCAGGCGGTACCACATAAGATTTAACATCCCGGTCAAAGGCTTAAAAGATAGAGTAAAAATTATGATAACATCGGAATAAAAGTTGAGATCGGAAATTCGAAAAATAAATATGTAAAATATTACACGGTCCTGTTTCTGTCTTTATTAATTTAATGTGATTTAAGCTTATGATTTCTGATCTCTGATAAGTGGATTAATTTAATTACAGTGGGCTTGATAGTTCCTCGTGCTCTCAATGTGTGTCACTACTGAAGCTGCTAGCCCAACAGGGCCGTACCGTCGTGTGTACAATTCACCAGCCCAGCGCTCTGCTCTTCGAAATGTTCGACCATTTGTATGCCGTGGCTGACGGCAATTGCATATACCAGGGCAGCATCAAGGGGCTTATCCCCTTCTTCAAAGACATGGGGCTAACGTGTCCCGCCTACCACAACCCGGCTGATTACCGTAAGCTACTTTTTCTTATAATAAAATAAAATTTAAGACTTCATTTGTCCCTACAAAGGGTGACATCTGGTATAGGAAACCTTTACTAAACCGCATCACCCAAGCTCAGTTATGTCCTTGGATAAACTGAATTATCACTTCGTGTGAGCTTCCTACGAAAACTTCCGAATGGACTTGGTGGTCCTAGGGCAAACAGCGACACTTGAGTCTCTCACATAAGGGAAAATCACAGATTAATACTCTTAATCAAGTATAATATTAAAATGATTATCAACGACATTCGTATTTATCAGCTGGTCTTTCTGAGTGAGCATGGAAAATGTTTATTCTACGTGTCACAGCAAACACATTGACACTTCTGTCCCACCGGAAGTCAGCAGAATGAGGTTACGTTGGACACACAAAACACCGTTTTGTACTAAAAGTCCTTTTCAAGGGCAGACATTTACATGAGAATTCACTGTTCTTTTTAATACAGAAATGACGCCAACGCATATCATTGTGAAGTAAAGTTCTTTTGCAATACGCATTCAACACAAAGATGGAATAAGGGGTGAACAAGTAGGACGGCCAAAGATCTGGAGTAGCTCAGTCAGTATACAGAGTCTGACCACAGGACAACTGGGGTTGAAACCTCGCAGGGGCAAATGATTTTTCTTTTAACCTTCTGAATTTAGGCCAGGTCTGGGCACTGGGGGGTCTTTTCCCTGGTGGTAAAGCATGATCGAGGCGTGATGTAGACCACACCCCTATCTGGTGATGACGTCAAGAATTAGTAGGAGCTGTAACTCCCTTCTCCTAGGTCAGGGGTGGGGAACATTTTCGTGTTGGAAGGCCGCATTCAAGAAACTTCAATTAGATATACTCAAAAGTGTACATTATTTTGTAAAAATCTAACTACTATGTACTTATATATTATTTAAATCTTGTCCGTCTAATCACAATAAACTCTTATTAAATATTAAAATATTACAATAATTAACATTTATGTACTTAATAATATCAAAAAACGAAAACTATTTGTTAATTTTAAAGTTAACTAACCTTTTAATGACTTTGTTGTGTCTGATTTTTGTTGGAAAGCATTTGAATATTTGGTTGCAGCACGTGTTAATAAAAATAAAAGGATTTGTTCTGTAAAATTTGGATTCAGTTTAAAGGCCGCACTTAAGGACCTAGAAGGCCACATGTGGCCTTAGGGCCGCAGGTTCCCCACCCCTGTTCTATATACTTCAAAGGCACGTAGCAGTCCTTAAGTACAGCCTGGAGATGCCATTACAAATAAACATAATTACGCAATGTTGTCAAAGAGATGTTACACATCACACTGATTATGGAGGCAGCAAGTACCTCTGAAATTATTCTGCCAGACTTAATGGTGTTGTACCAAATTTTTATTGCTGTATTTTGGTATCACGTGGTGACTGTCTTTGCTTTACAGTAATTGAAGTGGCGATTGGAGAGTACGACGCGGACGTTACGGTCCTGGTGGCGGAAGCTGCAAAGAGTGTTGGCGAGCGGCGGAAGTTGCCTAAGATCATAACTGGAGCAAATGAAGAAGTTATTGAAACTATTTCTGGTAAGTGGCGGAGGCCGATTAATATCCGCCCACACACACTGCGTGATGTGCGTCAGAGAATGTAATTTTGGTCACCGCCTTAAAAAGTTCACCAGTTGTCTAATTTCCCCACTAATAAACAATATTATACCAAACTTATATATATATATATATTTAGATTGTTATTATTTCTGTTCTTGTAGAAACGACCGCGGATTGTCGGCAACCACCTCTGCAGTTGGCAAGTCTGGCGAGCAGCGAGGACTCGTCTATTCATGAGATTTGCGAACAATCCCCAGTTTCAGCGTCGCTCTTTGCTCAGTTCTCATTGCTGTATTACAGGAATCTAATGGTACTCTGTAGAAATTATGTAAGTAAAGATCTTCTTTTGTTTGATAAACTACGTGCCATTTTCCGTATTGTACGAGGTGCGATCGGAAAGTTTCAAGACTGCGCCTATAAAAACCCGTACACTTATCTCAGGTATTAAATTCATCCATCACCCTCGAAGTAGATCCCCTGGGAGTGAACACAACGATCCCAGCGCCGCTGCCAAGCCTGGAAGCATCCCTGGAAATCTTTCTTTGTCAGCCTGTCAAGCACCATCTGCGATTCTGCCTGAATCTCTTCTATCGTCTCAAATCTCCTTCCCTTTAGCTGAATTTTCATCTTTGGGAAGAGGAAGAAGTCACACGGAGCTAAATCCGGCGAATAAGGAGGGTGCGGGATGACGGCCATGGTGTTTGAGGCCAAAAACTGCCGAACTTTGAGGGCGGTGTGCGCTGGCGCGTTGTCATGATGCGTCGCATGTGGAGTTCTTCCTTTAGAATCAGCTGACAGGTCCCAACAATGTCGCACAAGTCGTTGATGGTACGACGTCGATCTTCGTAACTTTTTCGGGCGTTGTGCTCGAAGATGGTCGTCCAGAACGCTCGTCATCATCGACAGAGGTTCGGCCGGCCCTTTTTAAAACGTGAATGCCACACAAAAGTTTGCGGACTCCCCAAATGTTTGCTTTAGCATTTCATAGGTTTCCTTAGCCGTTTTGGCGAGTCTTTGGCAAAATTTGATGCACACGCCATTCCGAAATCGCAGGAGGGTCGGTGTAATGCACTACCAAAACGCCCGTAACTAAGAAACAAATGCTAATTCGATGATGCCGGCTGGCACACTGATTCACTATGAATGTAGGCCGCACCCCCTAGCGGCAGAAGCTCGTACTACATCCGGTTCGCCCGCTATTGACACAGTCTTGAAACTTTCCGATCGCACCTCTTATGCTTCAATGTACAGTCTGAATCCAGTTAAACCTTAAAAAAAAGTGGTAATTATATGCACCTTTTGCTGAAACAATCACAGACGGTATTTATGGCTTTAATATGATTTTCAGAACAGAAGAAAAAAATATTTCCCTGAACGGCGTTAACCGAGTCAATTTGGAACGGATACGTGTTTTTCCATTGCTGTAGGAAATGAATTATTTTCATAGGGTCAATCGGTCAAATACGAAGTAAACACTGATTTTTAGACTTTATTGGAACGTTATTCTGCGCGTCGTCCAATATCCGAGGTAGGATCCGTGCAGGCGCTACAAAAAAAAAATTACCTCGGAGAATGGACGACGTCCAATATGATGTTTGTATAATGAAACAAACATTAGAAAAAATCTGATTATCTTATATGGAAGAACAGACTATAGTATCTCTAAGTTCACATGTCCGTCCGTACCTGCCCCAAACGACAACGTCCGAACACAATGACGGATTTTTAATAAAACTGGTACGAATATCGTGCCGTCACGGGCCTCTCGACATCTGTACCTTTTTAATATCCTGCTAGTAATAACGGCAGCCATACAAATTAATATGATTTAAGTATTAAGATGTCGGTGGATGAGGGTCTGTAAAATTTGCATTTAATTCCAGAAACACTTTATGATACGCATTGGGGCTCACTTGGTTATTGGACTGGTATTTGGATTCCTGTATCGAGGAGTGGGTTCAAAGGCCGACGCAGTGTTCGCCAACTACGTCTATCTGTACGGTACTACTCTGTTCCTCGTGTACACTGGCACGATGGCGGTCACTGTTTCATGTAAGTCAGCAGCTTCTAGAACGCTAACATAATTCACTCTCCCAAGTATTGACGACGAACATAATTTCTTGAGTTTAAGGTTTACATGCGTCATGTTTGTGTTTTTTGATTAAAATATATAATAAAATTCAGGTCAATACACAAAACTTGATTTAGAAATTAAAATTTAAAATTTAGATGTTAAAATTTAAAATTTAAATTTGCGCCATTCATCACTATAAGGATGTTGAATGAAAGCGCTCTAATGTAACATCCTTAGTGATGAATGGCGCAAATTTAAATTTTAAATTTTAACATTTAAATCAAGTTTTGTGTATTGACCTGAATTTTATTATATATTTTAATAATTTCTTGAGTAACTAACCGAGTTCTGAAGTTCGAGAGTTCCTCGCTCTGTTATTAAAATTACAGATTCGTCATTTTTTTTTTCTGTACAGTTCCACTGGAGATGAACACGCTCAAGAAAGAATACTTCAATAACTGGTATTCGCTGGTGCCTTGTTTCTTAGCCGTGATACTGGTAGAGATACCAATCCAGGTAAGAACTAATTATTATACGAGCGCGAAAACTGCGTGGCGAGATCATACGATGGTTAATATTTAATTTTTTGCTAGAACAAATAATTTAAAAATAAATAAATCAAATGTCATTAAATTATCGCAAACATTTCTCGTCGAAATAGGAACCCATTTTATGATATCCGTAAATGAAATTCTTATTTCCAGATCTTGGGTTCCTTCATTTACATCGCAGTCAGCTACGCTTACACGGAACAGCCGTGGGAGGAATACAGAATCCTTCTCTTCCTCATGGTGTGTGTTACAGTGACGCTCACCGCTCAAGCTGCTGGGTTCTTTATCGGTGTCATAGCGCCACTGAAGGTGAGTGGCGAGAGATATCGGTTGTAGAACCTGCGATTACTATTGGCAATAGTGCAATTGTTCTCGGACTTCCCTGATTCACGGACAGATGCTGGTGACCGCTACGCGGCGTCGCATTGTACAGTACAAATATTCATTTACAAAAATATTTATTACTAGGATTCTAAATATGGTTTAAAACATAAAATTTAATGCCTTGACACGGTATTAAAATTAAAAAGAGACATCATAATCACATTCTACTTGAATATTTTAAATTCAAAAAATTATGCAAGAGAGAAATTAAAACTATTTAGTACTGAAAATAAGACAAAATATAAAAGAGGAATTTTCATATTGTGATTACGACTATATGCGCACGTACGTGTTTGTGTCGTGTACTGTTGTATGAAACGAGCAAGGAAAAATTAATTTTTAAGATGCACATTCACACATAATTTTACAGGACAGTTTGTGGACGCGGGTCCGCAGTGGCCACTGGGACCGTGGGTTCGAATCCCACTCAAGCCATGGATGTCTGTCCGCGTCTTTCTGCGTCGTGCTGTCCTGTGTACGGGTAGAGGCCTCGCGACGGGCCGATCCCCCGTCCGAGGAGTCCTAGATCGAGCCAACGAAAAAGTTGGGACCCGCGGTGCTCGGGCACTTGAAGAACGTGTCGTTCCCATTATCCTCAGTTTGTGGACTGATAAACATTTGTGAACTTCTGCGTTACAAGAAAGAAATGCAAGTCTGCATTAATTTTAAACGTGCAAACTCTTAAGATTATGATATATATATATATATATTTCTTTTTCCAGATTGCCGTGTTTTTGAGCCCCACGATTGCGGTGCTGCTGTCAACTTTTGGTTTTAATATCTTTCACCATGACATCCCGAGCTACTTTCTGTGGATGTATCACATCAGTTACTTCCGGGCTGCGTTTCACAGTCTCGTGGTGTCCATGTATGGCCAGAACAGAACCACCTTGCCTTGTGAACAGTTATACTGCCATTATAAATATCCTGAAAAATTCCTTTACGAGATGGACATTCGTGACGTCGACATAAGTGATAACACGATTTACGTCAGTACCGTTGGCTTACTGTTGCACGTGTGTACACTTCTAGCCATTTGGTTTAAACTAATCAGAAGGTAAGAAGAATTGTTTCTGTAGAGATTCAAAGTTTTTACTCCCACAAGACAGAAGTTACTGCATTCTACTGATGAAAGTTTAATTGAACGTCGATCATTCTACAAGTGTCGCTTACATTTATGACTAAAACAGATGATTTCTGGTTTCCGTGCTGATTCGGTACTCATACAGATCCTATTTTGGGGTGAAACTTTAGATTTGAATTGTACTGATGATATTTTGGAGACTATTAATATCTCCATCTGCGGTAACACTGGCATACTCTTATATTAAAAGTCTACTTGTCAGTGGGTACCACCCCATTTGATCTGTCGAGTGATATTCAATAAACATTGAAACAGAAACATGTAATTTTAGGCTTGGGGCCACACGGCCGTACAAAGTACGTCCGTTGTAACGCACATCGTCCGTCATAGAATTATGAAGGGGCGAGACCGCAGAACGCGACGGCTTCTTCCGGCTCTGTTGGGGCAACTGACGCATCACACTGGGCTCGTGTGGTGTCCTCGCCCACGTCCGTTGCGACGGACGTACTTTGTACGGTCGTGTGGCCAGGGTCTTAAAGGAATGATCTCTTTATATAACCGGCGCGATCGATGTGTGCCTGTGGGGAAGGGTTTCGGAAGGAGAGGAATAATAATAAAAAAAATTAGCCTTACTAGGGCTACATAAAATTGAAAGAGATAGAAAAACAGAATCCACACTAGCGAGTCAGTATTATTTATTCATAATAACAGTTTCACCTTAAAAAATAATCTTCGCAACTCGGTAGTTTGCTATTCTCTATTCATTTCAAAATATTTGTGGAGTAACACAAGTTTTATGGCTCCCATACTTATGTCGCATAGACGCAATATTTTTGTGCTGTTCTCTGAATTTGTTAACAGTTCCAAAATTTTATAAGAAATTTAAAGATGCCGACAATTATATTCAGGTTTGATTAGTTTTTTATTACTGATCAATTTTCAAATATACAGCATGCATTCATTCAGTTAACGATCAACTTTCTCAGTATGTGCCTCAGCCCAAAGATTTTTCATATTATGCGGTTCAGTTAACAACTAGTCAAGTTTTCTAATAGCGTGCTATGAGTAATTAACACGGCAATCGACCGTACCAGATGCTCCATAAACGGGGTTACACATGAATCAGCGAAACAGTATTTTGGTACTGTCCGCATGTGTAACATTAACACTTAATATTTTGTTACACATTCTACGCGAGTGACTGTAGTGTTGTAGTTTTAGAGAATTTATACTTTGAACGCAGTGGAACCTTTATAATTTTTTTTTTAATTCAGTAATGCGGCCAAACTTGTAGACCCGTGTTTTGGGTGTCGGAATATCGAGTCAAAAATTACGACCGGATACCCGTAATTCAGAATTAATACCACTTTAGTCCGAAGTCGATGTAAAAACTTTGTAATCGTATTTAAACATTTTTTGAAAATTGTTTTCTGTTCCTTAACTTTTAGGTATTACTCCCCTTTAACCTGGCACGAGAAGTACTCATTTCTGTAAATAATTTCATTGGGTTCCTGCCCCTATAAACCACTGCGTGGGGTACGCAGAAGGCCGCTAACAATTTGCTTTAGAAAAATTAAGGTTCTACTGTCAATACATTCATGTAAAGGCTACGTGCAATTGAAGGAAATGGCATTGCAGATGCTTGAGCAAAAATAATGTTCCTGTAACTGAAGATGTGAGACATTGAAGTTTAATTTTTTTTGGTATTCGTACTATTTTTGTAAAATACGTGATTTAGTTTAAATCAATCGTGTAATTAATCTGTGTTAGAGAACTATCTTAGTAATTTCATTATGTAGATAGCGCTGATAGTTTTGTGTTTCAGGCTTCTTTGTAATGAGACAGTTTTTTAAAAGGTACTCAGAAAATTTGAGTACGTGTGGTTTTTCAACTGGAATTTGAAACTTTGACGCTATATTAAGGTGTGCATTTCAATCAAAAACTATTTTTTTATTCTAAAATAGGCCAGTATGCATCATTACTTCTATCGAAAAGCACCAAATACTTTTCAGAACACGTCTACAGAAATTACTTTTAAACGTATTTATAACATAATTCTTGCCTACGTATGTCTTTTTATGCGTTGCGTGGAAACCGTGCGAAATCAACAAAAAATGTGTTTGAAGAAGTCGCGTCGTCTGAAAGCCAAACCCACTGACGGACTGGCCGCAATTACCGGGAGGCAAATGAACTTAAAAACTGTGTTTCAGACTGAAATATTTGAACCCCCTATTTACGTAAGGACACAAATTCTTATTGTATTTTATAAATATTCGTCAGATTTAAAAATGCCTCAGATACAGACTATTCTGTGATAATATTTTAATGTTGCGTTACATATTCTTTTGTGCAGTGCGCAAGATTCGCTTATAGATTTTTTGAACATGCTTATTTCCGTTTTTCTTCAAAACTGACATTATTCGACTTTAATCCTGCGTACCTATTTACTTGTCAGATTTTTGTCTTAACGTAGGAGCCATTGCACAGCTTACGTTACGTTACTTAATATTACTTTTGACGAAACATTACAAAGTGAGCTGCATGCATGTGAATTTACAAGAATTCTATTATGTACATAAATACTGCATATTCATACTTATGTAGTAGCACCAGTATAAATACTATCTTGAGGATAAATTCAAAGATTATGGTAGACGTTAGAAAACAGATTCGGAATACTCGACACATGGATAATTCGAGTCGAGTGCCAGATAAAATGTATTAGCAGTCTGTGATTATATAATTCAACACTTATTTAAAACAAATTAGTCTTTGTTAAAATGTTACGTTTGCATGTAGTTTGTAGTATAAATATCTGCACCGTAAATGCGTGTTATTTCTTTATATTTTTATTCAGTGTCTTACGAAGTTCATTCCAATACTACGCAAGAATTATAAACATATAAATGTACATAAGCCGGTCACAGTGGCCGCGCGGTCTGAGGCGTGGGCCTTATGTCGCTTGGTCGCTGGGACCGTGGGTTCGAATCCCACTCAAGCCATGGATGTCTGTCCGCGTTGTCCTGTGTACAGGTAGAGGCCTTGCGACGACCCGATCACTCATCCAAGGAGTCCTACCATATTTCTAACAGATCAAGAAACCTCCTAAAATGGAGGCCCGTATGCTCCACATAGGAGCGAAAAGTGTATAAAAACACATAACCTCATTTGTATGTAATACATATATGATACGATTATGTATGCATTCTTTAAATGTAGTAAAAATAATTACAATACTGTGCATTTATAATATATCAGTCAACTGATTTAAACATTAATCATATAATTATTATAATTTTAGATATATTATTAAAAAGGTTGTAAATGAAGCATTATGAACGTGTAATAAAGGAATATCACGAAAGATAACCAAGAATCTTATCAAAATCGTAAGATCTCGGTATGAATGAAGGGAAAGATTTGCAAATGTAATGAAATTTACGCACATGGAAGACGACTTTCCTATAAATTTATAAAAATTTTAAGTGCATCTGAAGAAGATAAGATTAACCTTACCCAACATAACTTAAACCATACGATATTATTATCATGACGACGAAATATTCTGAATATAGCGAAAATAAGCCTTTGGTTAATGCGATACGATTCGGGAAACCCAGTGTCGTGACGACAACACAAGATTCTAAATAAAAACAAAGACGAGCATCAGGACGACACACAACATGGCCGAGCGTCACAAGGTAGTTTATGACAACCCGATGCTGACTGATCGGCACAACTCCAAAAAAACTTGTCTCGGGTTCGAATCTCGGTGAGAATGGTTTTTGAAGTTCTGAAACTAATGGCGCCAGGAGCAATATTATTTGTTTCGGCGACGAGATAACAGGAACAGAGGTCAAAAATGCGAAAGCTGTTCCGGGTTCGAGTACCGGTAAAGATGTTTTCTGTGAAGATATCCGTCTTCTGGGTTATCGCCCTGATGACGGAGGCAGTATGACCTCTGAAACGTTGCTAAACATCGACCAGACTACACAGCGCAAGAACCCAGAAGACAGAAATCTTCATACTCTGATGACGGAGGCAGTATGACCTCTGAAACGTTGCTAAACATCGACCAGACTACACAGCGCAAGAACCCAGAAGACAGAAATCTTCATACTCTGATGACGGAGGCAGTATGACCTCTGAAACGTTGCTAAACATCGACCAGACTACACAGCGCAAGAACCCAGAAGACAGAAATCTTCATACTCTGATGACGGAGGCAGTATGACCTCTGAAACGTTGCTAAACATCGACCAGACTACACAGCGCAAGAACCCAGAAGACAGAAATCTTCATACTCTGATGACGGAGGCAGTATGACCTCTGAAACGTTGCTAAACATCGACCAGACTACACAGCGCAACAACCCAGAAGACGGATATCTTCATACTCACCGCTGTGAGAACCTCAAGTCTTACATGTTTTCTGTGCCTTGGAAACTAATTGGTGCAGAACAACATAGTCATTTGATGTGTTCCTTTCATGAAATACTTGAAACATATTCAATTCCATCACAATAGATCTTCACTGAAAATTGTAAAAAAAAATCAATCTTCAGTCCGTATCAATCCCACTTTACATGAACCTCAAATATGACGACATCGAAGACTTCGTATTTCAGCTGACTGGCACACGTTTAGCGAATCCCTTTCTGACGTGGAAGAGAGAGAGACGATTTCGATCGGAAACAATAATCAATTATGTGTCACAATTAAAGTGTCAAGATTAATCTAAAAGACCTTAAACTTTAAACAATGATACACACAACTTCTTAAATATAATTTCTCCAGCGTTGTGTTGGCATCCACTATCAGTTAATGTAGGACTGAAGGTCCACGTGGACCCTGGCCCTGCTGACGTCATTAAAAGTAATGATTACATCCAAATACCTTAAAATGGTATATTTCAACACCGTAAATTCGAAAGAAAAAAAACATCAAAATATTTAAATGCACGGATTTATCCCAGAACATTATGAATAGGTCCGAGACCCAATTTATGAAACTGCACATCGCAGTTGTTTCAACAAAATGTTCTTTCTTCAGGGACAATTGATATTCTGACCACGTAAATTTCTCCCATTTGTGCACGAAACGTCAGATCTACAGATTTAAATATATTACTATTAAAAATATATGGACTTAAGAGAACGGACATAACCAGAGAATAGAAAAAGAGTTCACAATGAAGAGCTTTATAATCTGCACTCATCGTATAATATTTTCAATGACAAAAATTTAGCAGAATCAGATTGGCAGGACGTATTCAGCATTCTAGTCGGAGGGAACTCAAGGAAAGTGACCACCTAGAAGACATTGACAAAGAGGAAAGGATACTATTAAAACAGATCTTAGAAGCAAAGGGTGGGTATGGTCTCGATTCGTTTGGCTAGAAATAGAATCCAATGCTGACTTCTATGGAATATTCGGACCAGCTCAGCAACTATCAACTTTTCAACTGACCCTGCACTATGTTGTCAGTCTATCGTTTTGTTTCTGGCAGAAAATTTAAAATAAATTTTCAGAAAACGTAACAAAACCAGAAGCTAAGATCAGATACATATCAGATCAATCCATTGATAACTATAGATAGTAAGATTACAGCTGCATGAATAAGATCTGTAGGAAACAGATTCTTCCAGAATGAGAGAGCGAAGTTCTTTATACAAAGTCCGTCAAGTGACTTAGTTGCGGTCCTTGGGGTAAAGTCCAATAAGATTACAACGCTGCAGATAAAATACATGAAAGAAGGTTCTATGTAACATCAGAATCAGATACAAGCCTGCACGAAAACAGAGCAAATACTCGACGGGGAAAACAGGCGAATGACTTATCCAACAGGGAAAGATGAAAATCCTAAACGAGGAACTTCACAAATTTAACTTCCAATCCAGAAATGTCAGGAGATGAGGTTATCAGCAAGTCTGAGGTTGTCGAAACACAGCAAAATCAGAGGAAACAATAAATTATTAAAACAATTTTGGGGAGGCAGAAAACTTAACATAAAATCTTTATTATAATACGTAGATGAAGTATAATATCAAAATTATTAGATGAAAAATGCATCCTTCATTTTACTATTACCGATTGTAGGAAACTGGTGTATTATCAATTCCACTTCAGTCGTGCAGGTGATACATTCCGAAACACGTGGTTTTGTCGCCAGTAATCAAGAGCATTTTCCTGTTACAGGAAGGTCGACAGAAATCAGCGACAAAACACTTTACTGCAAAAACGTCTAATTACATTTCAATTCAGACTACAAGCTAACGTGAGAATTGTAACCAATGAAATGCCCGAACACGAAGCAGGCCGACGTGGATGTCATTACGTATTCTGTGGAAGTCTTACAAATTGAAGAGGCCGATGGCGACCCTCAAACATTGACCTTTAACCCTCTATTGAGCAAATCACACGTAAGTCTTTTATCTATATAAATCTAACCCTCTTTAGGTATAGATTTCTCACGAACGTAGTCATTTGAACGCTCTAAAGCCCAGTAATAACTATATATACCACCTGTTTTTAACAAAAACGTCTGTACGTTTTGTCCACAGAATGAATTACAAGTTTCTTATGATCATCAGAATAAAAAGTTATTATTTCCTTAAACAGCGTTAACCAACTGGATGTTGTCATGGAGACGTGTTGTGTTTTCTTTGAGGTACGGACTCGATATTCAAATGCCGGGTGGTTCCAAACTGCTACTGCACGAAGCACTCCCGATTCATAAATTAATCAGAATTACCCCTCTGACGTGAATACGACCAAATTACTTATAGTTCAAAATTATCATTTTAAAAAAAAAAATATATATATATATATAAATATTCCGTTTCTCCGTACTCGTACCATCATAACATCTTCACTCTCAGTCTATCATCTACAGAAGGACGAGCGGGCAAATCCTGGGGACCTTCTAACAAAATAATGATCGCTATTCATGAGATGATAAAAGTTGCGTCATATTGTGATAAATATATATTTGTTTAAATCTTGTTAGTCTAATCACAATAAAATTCCTATTAAATATTAAAATATTACTATAATTAACATTTAAATATTTAAAATATATATATACACCTGAATATAGTTCATTTGGAACTGAAATATGTCGTGTGAAAAGTGAATGTTCTAATGTAAATCGAACATTTCGATAGAGAACATCATTTTAATATATTTTAAATGTTAATTATAGTAATATTTTAATATTTAATAGGAATTTTATTGTGATTAGACTAACAAGATTTAAACAAAAATAATGATCTTTCTCCCTCCGGAAACAAGGCTTATTTTCACTTTGTTTCTATTCTGATACTACCCTTCGGCTTCAAAGGATTGAAAGCCAGTGACCACCAGATTCTAAATGCCTGATACTGTCAACATTGCACCTTGGGCTCCTGCTGCCACAGGTTGAAAACTAGGAAGAGATGTCAGCCAAGATTTTCTTCCGTCCTCAAGGCCCTGCAGGCACTGACCGCTTTTCTAAACATAGCCACTTGCAAAGGAGACGCTTGGCATTACCTTAACACACTAATAGCAGGCCATGACCCCGGCAGACAATTGGCACTAAGAGGACCCGAAGGCAGTGAGAAGATTCCATCCCAGCGGTCAGAAAGGCTGTCGGCCAAGTCTTCAAACGCGCTGGATAATTTGATATTTAAATCCATCAATGTAGCAGTGAGCCTGCTTGCCTGTTGTTAGATTATGCGACGACGACGTGTATTAAATGCATCGTCCCGAGGTAGAGAAAATGGAATTATTCTTTTCAACGAAAGAGTCCTGCTTGGGAAATTAACAGTACCCTCGAATATTTAAAAAAAAAATCCTTTTTATGCAAGGTAAATTACAGCGTTCACAACAGCCTGTCGATCCTGTAGACATATTTATTCATACCACAACTTCAGCTATGAAGATGGAGGCAATATATTACTCCGAAACATTGTTATCTACCCACAAGGCCTAGAAGACTAACTTCGGTTTCGCCAGGATCACAGCAAAGGATTGTAATTACTACAGAAGAATGCAAGCTCAAAACACGTTGATATTTGGTCGCAACTCGAGCTGTTAGCGGCTACACGCTAAACACAGCAGAAGGAGAAGTTGCCGCGATAGCACGGCGCGACTACTTTTGAACACATTTTAACATTGTCTCATATCGTAGTATTTATAACAATTTTCTCATGTAGTGAAGCAAATTACAGAGTGAGGGTAAAAGCACGTGGAATTTACAAATGAAGGATTATATGCGCAACTAATTTACCCGTATATTAAAATGTAATTTAGATTTCCGACAATCTTAAAAAACAACAATAAATGTGGACAAAGATCCATGTATATTATTTTTAACAAACAGTTTCGTACAATATTATGCACTTACGATATAAAGAAATAACGAGCCCCGAGAAATGTTAACCAACTGCATGAAGTACAGCCCTACTTGAAAAGCTAACAGTGGCTCAACTAGTCAAGAAATTTCAATCCTTATATGAAACTCGAACGTTTATCACTGTGTTCAAAAGTGAGAGCCACTGGTCTTCACACCGAACCAGATTAATCCAATCCACACGCTTTTGGTACTAATCTTCCATCAATGTCTTCATCTTCTAAGATGTCTCTTTCCTTTAAGTATCCACTGAAACTTGATCTAACTGTGGTCTGCTGTTTGTGGTTTATTAAACGGCGCTGTCAGCAGCTAAGATTGCACAGCGTCGGATAAGAGAATGAATAATGAATTGGAAAGGACATGGAAGGAAGCGACAGTGACCTAATTGGAGGTATTATCCCGATATTTGTTTGGTGGGATTTGGGGGGGGGGGAACCTGTCAGGATAACTGGTCTTATGGGCATATCTCGCTTTATTGCTCTTTGCAGATATTGCGTTTTCTTTTACAAAATGAAGGTTTGTGGCAACCCTGCGTCGAGCAAGTCTATCGGCGCCATTTTTCCAACAACAACGTGCTTGCTCCATGTCTCTGCGTCACATTTTGATAATTCTCGCATCGTTTTTTTATACATAATGCTATTGCACACTTAATATACTACAATATAGCGTAAACATAATTTTTATATGCACTGGGAAACCAAAAAAATTCGTGTGACTCGCTTTATTGCGTTGGTCTGGAACCGAACGCGCAATATCTCCGAGGTATGCCTAGTTCACGAGATTCTGGTTTAAGTCAGTCACCCACCAATCATCATCAGTGCTGTAAACAGAACCTCGGGCATGCAGGGTAAACGGTCCGGGAGTGCTATGCGAGACACCAGACACTAGATAAGATTATTGTGAAGCTGATATGCTGGATGCCATTAGCAGATATGTACTGACGAAGAAGACAGAACGAGTGAGTTGTGTCTTTGGCTGCAAGAGACGAACAGCAAGGTCGGTTGCCAGTTCTCTATGTGATCAGTTAGTTGTGCGTGTGTCGACAGTGTAGGAGGTGGCGTGGTGGCTCTGACAGCATGGCGGAGGGCCCTGATTCCGTCACGAGTGCCATATTACGCAGTAGTACAAACACTCCGCCAACATCTGTAGGTCCATACAACATTGCCTGTAGCATTTCTAGTGACTGTGATAATTTTATAAGTGATAGTGTAGAGAGTGTTAGTGCAGATAGTGAAACAATCTTATTCAATACTAGATTAGCTGCCAAAAGACCCGCGACCCTCAAACTGGAGAATTGTAGGCATCCACCTCACCTGAGTCCTATTACAACAGTCTCAACAAGTCCTCAGCCATCGATTGAGCAATACGCTTCTTCGAGAACTCTGAACCTGTCCTTCAGCGAGCTTTCTTACTCTGTGAAAACCGGGATAAGACGAGGTAGGTCTCAGTTACAATAACTCTACCCTAAACGTCGGGCTCGGTCTGGATGCCACGTTAATCTTCATATATAAAAAGGCGTTCTTTACGCCACATCACGTAGGCCACTATTGCACTATGATCCGAGGTATCCACCTCAAGACAATGTTGTACTGACGTTGTCCTTTGTCCTTGTACAATGTTTTCCAACACTAACCTTCCCACTGTTACAATATGTTTCAACAGAGACCTCGATCGTGCAATCACCGTTGCCATGGTTATGCTACTAAGAGATTTTGGGCCCCCACCCCCCATGAGATAATGTTTATGACTACGCGTGTTTACAGATTCAGACTTCCCCGTCGTTCGCGAGCCAAACTAAGTAAGAAAATCAAAAATAATATTAACATAGATAAGTTTTTCCCCAGAACGCATTTGGTTATTGGTACATTTAGTGTGTTAAATTCGAATTAGTGGTACACCAGCGAAAAATTTATTAAAGGCTTTAAAACAACAAAATCAGAACCGTATAACTGTTTTTACAACCATCATAATTCTCTCGTTCAGGACAGATTCCAGTGGCGGGGCTCTTGTAAAGACGAGAATTAACCTCCGGTTTTCATAAAGCACGAAACACATCGTTTCTTAACTCCTAAGCGACCATCTCATGGACTCTGCCCTATGGAGCTACTTACAAGAAAATTAATTACAAAATTCTTCAAGACTGCTCTTCAGAGGAAACCTATCGTTTGCTTAATTAACATTAACAAATTAACCGTGTTTTAAAATCACACCCAGAGTAATGTTTTCGAAGACATTTGGGTTCTGGATGAGTTCCCGTTGTCATATGAAACAAGAATGGAATACTACTTTGCATAATTTACTTATTAGTGAAACACTGCTTAGTTATGTGGACAACATTTATTAAACCTTTTTTTTTTCCTGAAACTAGTCTACAGCATGAAGGTTTGGCTTTCTCTGTCGATAAATCAAATATTTTCACAGCCCCTGAATGGATCCCTAGGTACTTCATGCGTTAACTACATTTGACGTCAAAGGTACTTTAATATAATTTATATGTTTCTTGGGGTTGTCCAACAGGTAATGAGATCCAGGAAGAATATTGAAAGAAAGAGCTTGCTGTATTCTTATCATTATTTGTTTAAAAGTTTTTGATAATACACTTTATCATCATAAGCTGTACCTATTTTTGCTTTGACACGATAAGATGCTATAAACGTACGATTTATTAATCTAACTTCAATGTTACATACAGGAAAAAAAAAAACATAATTGTTCCCCACGTTTAAAATTGTATGTGTATTGTTTTAAACGTTTTAATGTTACTGTGACTCAATTTAATTTCATCCTGACGCAAAGGCCCAATATTTTGAAGGGGGTCTCCAATTTATGAGCTTACGATCTTGCCTACATTGCGTTATCAATGATGTTCAAAGTGACTTCCTTGTGCTTGCAAGCAAGTTTAAATCAATATATCCCAAAGTTATCTTAAATTTCCCGAGTCTCTGCAAGCAACATACATGCACCGAACCTGAAAACAAGCCGGGCACACCTACCTGCACCCAGAAGACAAACACTGACATTTTAATTGTCGAAAGAATCTCATATCTTATAAATATGGCGATGATGCGAAACTTTTAGGTGATACGTAATAACTTTCGAGTGTATGGTATATACATTTGTGCCACCTGAAATTTAGTAGTTTAATTGAATTATAAATATGTAACTGCAACTTTAAGGTCATTTATAGAGAACAAGGCACCAGATTTCTTGAACATTGCTCCCTGGAACTTGTGTTAGAATGTTTCTACTAATGAGAACATTTAAAAGTTCTCCGGTCGGAACATCTGTGCATGTTTTTCTGAGAGTTTCTTAACGACGAACAGGACAGCTCGCCATGATGGTATATTCTTGAATACAGTACACACATACACATTCTTTTGATTTTATAAGCAAATGGCGTTGTTCAGAGTAAAGGAATAAGAAACAATGTAGGAAGTAGGAAGCTTCAAGAGGGGAAAAATCAACAACAACAACAACAACAGGTATTTCAAGGCTACGGTACAAAGATAAAACCAGTTCTTGCTAGACGATGTTACGCAGCGTAGAGAAACCGATCTTAAATTCTTTCGTGCATTATCGTTACTTCATTTAATAAGCGTCCACAACTCCACTATTACTTACTGGAAAGCTCGTTTCACAATACATTTTATTCTTAAGGAATCGACACAAGATGGTTGCTATGGAAACATAATGGTACATAAACAGAAGACTGTTTAAATTCCAAAGTTTCACTTGTTTCGAAGACATGTTGTATCCTACACAGAGTTTATATAGGTGAGTTTTCATAGAAATAAACTGTAATTTTACTGATATAAAAACTGGTATCAGTAGTAAATTACTAAAAGAAACACCAGTGATAATGAAATAATCTACATAAAGTATGTGACATTTACTGAACAGGCTATATGACCTGTTATAGATCGTGCCATAGCTCAGGCGGTTAGACACTGGCACCTCGTTGCGAAAAACTGGGTTTAATACTGGATGATATTCGTGGTGGAGGACGAAACGGGAGATGGCCAGGTTGAGTTTTTCTGAATTTCTCCCGCTAATCATTATACGACCACTGCTCCATAATCTGTCATTGCCCCCATGAGGTGTGCTATTGCCTTGACCTAGCAGAACATTATCACACCCTCGGTCCTAAGGGACTTACTTAATCTCTGACCCCAAATTTTGCTGGTCTCGGGGTAAGGTTAGGTAAGATTTCAAATTTCGCCTACATATGAAGCAAAGAACCTGGGAGATCTGTCCTTGGCGAGGGAGAATACGCACACGTAACAAGCACCCGAGAAGAATTCATCGTTCCTGGATATATCTTCTTATAATATAAAATAAAGTCTGGCGTGAAGCCATCTTTGAAGTGAGAAATGAACATCGAGGAATACGTGTCGTATGAGACGCCACCACGATATAAGCACGTTATTGTGAATGTTTTCAACACACCCTTATTCTTTATAGGCAACAACACATTTCCTGTTCACACCGAACGTGTACGACATTATTTAACAATTCTAAAGTCTGAACAGAACGAGAAAAAATTGAGATTCTATTTGAAATGAAATTACAGAAACACGTAATGGTTCATATTTACATATCCTAAAGTGTTTTATGCTTTGAAGACATTTTTTTCGAAGAATATCGACTTATAAGTATCTTTGTCAGATATCCTGCTATCTCCAAGTTCAAACTTCTTGGAATTAAATATCGATTATTAGTTAACTATTGTTCTCCTACAATGACGTATTCCAAAGTTACATGATGAACCTGATATACAATGACGAGGTCTAAATATGAATATTTATGTGCCTCCTACTGTAATTACATAGATCCCTCTCTCATTTCCGTTCAACCATACCACACGCACATGTTTACAGTAAATAAAAGAGCAAAACAGTCACATGACAGTTCGTAGAACAGACAACTGCTATTTGGAGAACATACACACATACGTCCTCGAACAGTGACCTTTGAAACCTGTTTGCCGAGATAGTCCCAGTGTTAGACGTTTGGTTTTAAAGCGAAGTGCGTCCATGCCACGGTGGTCTAGCGGTTAGAACGCTGGCCTTGTAATCCTGGGGTATCTCGGGTTCGATTCCCGGCGGTGCCCGAATTTATAACTTGTGTTGGGCAAGGCCGTGGTCTAGGCAACACGGAGTTTTCCTCCGTGGCATCCCAACAATTACCCCATTCACACACAGAAGAAGGCAATGGCAAACCACTGCTGGATCATCTGCCAAGAACGTATATGAACAAGTCCCAGTCCGAGAAAAGGATGGAAGGATACTGTTCATATGGACCTGTCGTCAGACAGAACACAAAATAAATGAACAGGTCCCAGTCCGAGAAAAGGATGGAAGGATCCTGTTCATATGGACCTGTCGTCAGACAGAACACTAAATAATAATAAAATAATAAATACATAAGTGCACGTCTTACCTTTCGTAGGGTATGCAACACTCCGAAGGTCCATAAATCCATCAGAAAATCCATTTCAGTACGTATTGGTTGTTTTCTCAAAAACTGCATTCCCTGTATAATAAACATGAAATTAATTTCTTTCCAAGTACATGTCTTAATGACATTCATCGCGCATGCGTAATGTTGCTATCTGACGTTGCAACGCTACAGCATAGAAACACGTGTGGCCGTACTTTTATGCCTGCAGGGCTGATTTAACTGTTCAAACAATGTCCATTTTAAAGTTCACCAGGCCTAAAAATGCCTGTCAACAGAAGTTGGAACGAAACTCAAACGTATCATAAAATATACAGGAATTAAATTAGCAGAATTCTGTTGGGGCTGTGATATAAGAGGCCTTCTTCAAGTAACATTATTGGTTAATGTTTCAAAATGAATGATCTTGGACAAGTAGAAAGTGGACTTCGACACAGACATTACGTAACGTGGTAAACAGTTATTGTGCCAAAGTACGAATCTTTAAACATCTTCATACCAGTCTCCATGAGAACCTCATTTCTCACATCTTAAATAGGGCATATTTAAACGTAGATCCCAGGTCTCTCTTGATATCAAGTATTAAATTGAATTGGTCCGTCTGATTCACACTTTCAGAAAATACGTGTAAGTTGCTATGAGATATGTTGGCTCATTTTAAGTATCTTACTTAGTACAAAGCGTATTCCCCTTCACTGTCATTGGGCGGCTCACCAGACTTAATTTAACTTGCATAAATTAATTACATTCCCACTTTATTTCACGATCACGTTGCTCGTTGTATTAAATTATTACTGTACATAAATGCATTACACAATGTCTTTACAGGGCATTCTGTAGCATTAACAAGTGAAAACAACGCCCATAGAGAGGAAGTCTGACAAACCTTTCCAGGGCGAAACAGAACCATTTCAGGCTCCTACTTCACGCTGTAGCAACAAACCGAATGGGGCTAGGTGCTGATAACTTATCATCAAGAA